GGGGTTGGGATGGTTTGGGGGTTTTTGGGATGGTAGTTTGGTGGTGCGTGGGGCTAGTAGAAGGGGGGTTTTGGGGTAGTTTGGTGGGGTTGGGAGGTAGTTAGGGGGGTTGGGGTAATTAAGGGCGGGAGATATGAGGAGTAGGGGAAAGAGAAAATATAAGAGAAAAAAGGATAAAAAAAGTAGTTAGAGGATATAGAATAGAATAAGAAAGAAGAGAGAGAAGTGGTAGTTAGGGGGGATTGGTGGGAATTGGGTGAGTAGTTAGGGGGGATGTGGGGGTAGTTAGCGGGGGGGGTGGTTTGGGGGCGATTGGAGGTAGTTAGGGGTTTTTTGGGGGCGTTGGGTGGTAGTAGGGGGGTTAGGGGTAGATTAGGGGGGTGGGGTTGTAGTTTTAGGGGTGTTGGAAGTAGTTTTTAGGGTTGGGAGGGTAGTTAGGGGGGGGGTTGGTGGTAATAGGGTGGTTTGGGGAATTAGTGGGTTGGGAGTTTGCTCGGTCCCGCTGCGGTGGAGGTGAGTGGTGATGAGGGGGTGTTCGGTGGGGGTAATTAGGGAGGGGTTTTGTGGGTAATATAGGGGGTTGGTGGGTAATTAGGGGGAGTTGGTGGCAGGTATTAGGGGGGGTTGTGTAATTGGGGTTGTGGGTAATTAGGGGGGTTGGTGGGGTAATTAGGGGGGGGTGGGGTATTAGGGTGGTGGTAGGGGGGTATTGGCTGGGGTAATTAGGGGGTTGGTGGGGTAAATTAGGGGGGGGTTGGTGGGGTAATTAGGTTGGTGGGGTATTAGGTGGGGGGTAATTAGGGGGGTTGGTGGGGTAATTAGGGGGGGGGGTGGTGGGTAATTATGGGGGGTTTGGTGGAGGTTTAGGGGGGTTGGTGGGGTAATTAGGGGGGGTTGGTGGGGGTAATTTAGGGGGGGGTTGGTGGGGGTAATTAGGGGGGGTGTGGGGTTAGGGGGGTTGTGGGTAATTAGGGGGGTTGGTGGGGGTAATTAGGGGGGGGGTGGGGATTGGTGGGGTAATTAGGGGGGGTTGGTGGGGGTAATTAGGGGGGGGTTTTGGTGGGGTAATTAGGGGGGGTGGTGGGGTAATTAGGGGGGGTTAGGTGGGGAGGTAATTGGGTTGGGGGGGATCACGTGGGGGTAACATTAGGGGGCGTTGGTGGGCGTAATATAGGGGGGTGTGGGGCGTAATTAGGGGGGTTTCGGTTAATCCCGTCAAATCACCTTCCTAATCCCTATTTAATCCCCCACCCAACCAAAACTAATCCCTATTAAAATCCCCACAATCCCACCAAAAATACCTAATCCCGTTCAAAATCCTCCCAATCACCTAAAACAATCCCTCCCTAATCCCTCTTATAAAATCCCCGTCCAATCCCTCCTTAATCTCACATCCTAGTCGGGCTTCAATCACCTACCTAATCCCTTTATAATCCCCTCCCAATCTCTAATCAAATCCTAATCTCCCAAATCCCTTCCTAATTTGCCCTAAGCCTAAAATCTATCCTCTCAATCCTTCCCTATCTTTTCAAATCCTCACCCAATCCCACCTAAGCACCAGATACACTCCCCTACCACCCGATCCATTCCCTAATTCTCAAAATCCCTCCCCAATCCCCACCCGTTTCCTTTCCTATCTCAAAATCCCTCCCTAATCCCCACCCGATCCTTCCCTAATCTCAAAATCCTCCTTAATCCCACCGATCCTTCCCTATCTCAAAAATCCTCCCCAATCCCCATATCCATCCCTAATCCCACCCGATCTTCCCTAATCTCAAAATCCCTCCCTAATCCCCACCCGATCCTTCCCTAATCTCAAAATCCCTCCCTAATCCCCACCCGATCCTTCCCTAATCTCAAAATCCCTCCCTAATCCGATCCTTCCCTAATCCCCAAAAATCCCTCCCTAATCCCCACCCGATCCTTCCCTAATCTCAAATCCCTCCTTATCCCCACCCGATCCTTCCCTAATCTCAAAATCCTCCCCTCAATCCCCTCACCATCCCCCGCCCGATCCTTTCCCTAATCCCAAAATCCCTCCCTAATCCCACCCGATCCTTCCTAATCCCAAAATCCCTCCCTGTAATCCCCCCCGATCCTTCCCCTAATCTCAATCAAATCCCTCCTAATCCCCACCACGATCCTTCCCTAATCTCGAAATCCCTCCCTATCCCACCGATCCTTCCCTAATCTCATAAAATCCTCCCTAATCCCCCCCGATCCTTCCTAATCTCAAATCCCTCCCTTCCCCACCCGATCCTTCCCTAATCTCAAAATCCCTCCCTAATCCCCACCGATCCTTCCCTAAATTCAAAATCCTCCCTAATCCCAACCCCGATCCTTCCCTAATCTCAAAAATCCCTCCCTAAATCCCCACCCGATCCTTCCCTAATCTCAAATCCCTCCCTAATCCCCACCCGATCCTTCCCTTAATCTCAAAATCCCTCCCTATCCCCACCGCATCCTTCCCTAATCTCAAAATCCCTCCCTAATCCCCCCCGATCCTTCCCTAATCTCAAATATTCCTTTCCCTAATCCCCCCCGATCCTTTCCCTAATCTCACAATCCCTCCCTAATCTCACCACCCGTCCATCACCTATCTCCAAAATCCCCTCCCCTACTCACCCGCCCGATCCTTCCTAATCTCGGAAAATCCCTCCCATATCCGCCGCCGATCAGCTTAGCCCTAATCTCCAAAATCCCTCCCTAAATCCCCACCCCGATCTTCCACCTAATCTCAAAATTCCCTCCCCCTACATCCCACCCCAGATCTTCCCCTAATCCTCAAAATCCCTTCCCCTTAATCCGCCACGCCGATCCTTCCCTAATCCCACCCAGATCCTTCCCTAATCCCCACCCCGATCCTTCCCTATCCACCCACCGATCTTCGCCTAATATCCCCACCCGATCTTTCCCGAATCCCCACCCGATCTTTCCGAATCCCAAAATCCTCCCTCATTCCCTACCGATCCTTTCCCCTAATCTCAAAACCTCCCTAATTCCCACCCCGATCCTTCCCCTAAATCTACAAAATCCCTCCCTAATCCCCACCCGGACCTGTCACCTAATCCCCACCCGAATCCTTCCCTAATCCCCACCCGATCCTTCCCTAATACCCCCACCCGATCTTCCCTAATCCCCACCCATCCTTCCCTAATCCCACGATCCTTCCCTAATCCCACCGATCCTTCCTAATTCCCCACCCGATCCTTCCCTAATGCCCACACCCGATCCTTACCTAAGCCCACCCATCCTTCCCTTAATCCCAACATCCTTCCCCTAACTCCACTACCCGAATCCTTCCCCTATTACACAAATCCCTTCACCCTATGTCCCTACCCGATCCTTCCCTAATTCAAATCCCCTCCGAATCCCCACCGCGATCCCTCCCTAATCTCAAATCCCTCCCTAATTCCCACCCGATTCCCTTCCCCTAATCTCAAATCCCTCCACCTGAGAAATCCCCACCCGATCCTTCCGGAAATCCCAAAATCCCTCCCTAGATCCCTACCATCCTTCCCTAATCTCAATCCTCCCTAATCCCCAACCCGATCCGTTCCCTTAATCTCAAAATCCCTCCCTAATCCCCACCATCCTTCCCTAATCTCAAAATCCTCCCTACATCCCCACCGATCCTTCCTAAATCTCAAAATCCCTCCCTAATCCCCACCCGATACCATTCCATCCACTAAAATCATACGAATCCCTCCCTAAAATCCCCACCCCGATCCTCAAGCCTAATCATCGAAGAATCCTCCCTAATCCCGCACGTCCATCCCCTAAATCTCGAAATCCCTCCCTAATCCACCGCACCGACCTTCCACATACCTTATCTCAGAAATCCCTCCCGAATCCCCCACCCGATCCTTCTCCTAACTCTCAAAATCCGCTCCCCCTTAATTTCCATAAAATCCCTCCCGAGCATCCCCACCCGATCCTTCGCCTAATCTCAAAATCCCTCACCTATATCCCCCCACCCGTCTCTTCCCTGAAATCTCAAAAATCCCTCCCTAATCCTCCTACCCCTTCAATAATCCACCCACTCAATCCTCCCCGAAATCTCCAATCCCTACCCAATCCCTCCCTATTAGCCCTTCAAATCCCCCTAATCCCTTAATCCCTAATCTAATCCCCCCTTAATAGCCTTTCTAATTCCCCCTAATCCCCACCCAATCTCTCCCTAATTTTCTAATCCCTCCCTAAATTAGGATAATTAGTGGCTAATTAGGTGGATTAGTGAGTTAATTATGGTGATTAATCCCTCCCTAATCACCCACCTAATCCTTCTAATCCCTTAATCCCAAAACCCCTAATCTAATCCTTAATCCCTAATCTAATCCCGCCTAATCCTTAATCTCCCTAATCTAATCCTTCTATCCTAATCTAATCCATTAATCCCCACCCAATCCCCAATCTTAATTCCCTTATAATCCCCAACCCAATCCCCAATACTAATCTAATCTCCTAGTCCTCTTAAAATCCCTAATTACCCAATCCCCAAATCCCTAATCCTAATCTTCTAATCCCCCTAATCCCTAATCTTCTAATCCCCTAATCCCTAATCTTCTAATCCCCTAATCCCTAATTTCTAATCCCTTCCTATTAGCCCTTCAAATCCCCGTAATTCCCTAATTTAATCCCTCAACCCCCCCTTAATAGCCCTTCTAATCCCCACCCAATCCCCAATCTAATCCCTCCCTCCTTAATATCCCTGCTAATCCCCTACCCAATCCCCTCCCTATTATCCCTTCTAATCCCTCCCTAATTCCCTAATCCCCCAATTCTTTGCCAATCCCCAATTGTATCCCCCTCCCTATATAGCCCTTCTAATCCCTCCCATTAGCCCTTCTAATCCCTCACCTATTAACCCTTTTATCCCTAATCTTCTAATCCCTCCCTAATCCCCCATTTCGTGCCATCCCCAATCTAATCTCCTCCCTATTAGCCCTTCTAATCCCTAATCCCTAATCCCTAATCTCCCAATTCTTTACCAATCCCCAATTAATCCCTACCCAATCCCCAATCTAATCCCTCCCCTATTAGCCCTTTATCCCCTCCCTATTATCCCTTCTAATCCCCCTAATCCCTAATCCCAATTCTTTCCCAATCCCAATCTAATCCCTTACCCAATCCCCAATCTAATCCCCAATCTAATCCCCTACCCATTCCCCAATCTAATCCCCAATCTAATCCCCTATCCATTCCCCAATCTAATCCCCAATCTAATCCCCAACCCAATCCCCCAGGCCTGAAGACCGCAACGTGACCTGCGTCCGGACGAGTGACCTTGTTTCCCGTGGCCGAGTACCTGTGTGACCGAGGGAGCGACCCGACCGGAACGCGACCTGCAATGACCAGCCGTGTCCTGCCAGGTGGGTGGTTTGTCTCTGTTTTGTTTGTTTGGTTTGGTTTGTGTTTTTTTCTGTTTTGTTTTGTTTTTTGTTTATTGGTTTTTTTTTGTTTTGTTTTTGTTTTTGTTTGTTTTATTAGTTTTTTTTCTGTTTTTTTCTGTTTTTCGGATTTTTTTTCTTTCTCTTTGCTTTTCTCTCTGTTCTCTGTCTCTCTCTCTCTGTCTTGTCTCTCTCTCTCTCTGTCTGATCTCTCTCTCTCTCTCTTCTCTCTGTCTGTCTGTTCTGTCTCTCTCTCTGTCTCTGTCTCTCTCTCTCTCTCTCTCTCTCCTCTCTCTCTCTCTCTTGTTCTGTCTGTCTTCTCTCTCTTCCTCTGTCTGCCTGTCTCTCTCTCTCTCTTTCTCTCTTCTCTCTCTCTCTTCTCTCTTCTCTCTCTCTCTCTCTCTCTCTCTCTCTCTCTCTCTCTCTCTCTCTCTCCTTCTCTCTCTCTCTCTCTCTTCTCTGTATGATCATCTCATTATATTATCATTATTATTCGTCATCCTCATCATTATCATCTTATCCACCTTCTCCCCCCCCCCCCCCAGATGGCAGCTCGGCGCCTGGACCCCATTTCTTCTCTCTCTCTCTTCTCTCTCTCTCTCTCTCTTCTCTCTCTCTCTCTCTCTCTCTCTCTCTCTCTCTCATCTCTCTCTCCTCTCTCTCTCTCTCTCTTTCTCTCTCTCTCCCCTTCCCTCTTTTCTCTATCATCATCCTTATCCACCTTATCCAGCTTCTCCTCCTCCCCACCAGATGGCAGCTCGGCGCCTGGACCCCTTTCTCTCTCTCTCTCTCTCTCTCTCTCTCTCTCTCTCTTTCTCTTCTCTCTTTCTTTCTCTCTCTCTCCCTCCCTCCCTCTCCTCCCTCCCTCCCTCCCTCCCTCCCCTCCCTCCCTCTCTCTCTCTCTCCTCTCTCTCTCTCTCTCTCTCTCTCTCTCTCTCTCTCTCTCTCTCTCTCTCTCTCTCTCTCTCTCTCTCTCTTCTCTCTCTCTCTACTCTCTCTCTCCCCTCCCTCCCTCTCTCTTCCCTCTTTTCTCTATCATTATCAATATTATTATCATTTATCATCATCATCCTTATCCACCTTATCCAGCTTCTCCTCCTCCCCACCAGATGGCAGCTCGGCGCCTGGACCCCCTTTTCTCTCTCTCTCTCTCTCTCTCTCTCTCTCTCTCTCTCTCTCTCTCTCTCTCTTTCTCTTTCTCTTTCTCTTTTCTTCTCTTTCTCTTTCTCTTTCTCTTTCTCTCTCTCTCTCTCTCTCTCTCTCTCATATCTCTCTTCTCTCTCTATCTATCTCTCTCTCTCTCTATCTCTCTCTCTGTCTCTCCCTCTCTCTCTCTCTCCCTTCCCTCTTTCTCTATCATCTATTATCCTTTATCATCATCAACCCTATCCACCTTATCCAGCTTCTCCTCTCCCCACCAGATGGCAGCTCGGCGCCTGACTCCCTTCTCTCCCTCTCTCTCTCTCTCTCTCTCTCTCTCTCTCTCTCTCTCTCTCTCTCTCTCTCTCTCTCTCTCTCCTCTCTCTCTCTCTTCTCTTCTCTCTCTCTCTCCCTTCCCTCTTTTCTCTATCATCATTATTATCATTTATCATCATCATCCTTATCCACCTTATCCAGCTTCTCCTCCTTCCCACCAGATGGCAGCTCGGCGCCTGGGACCCCTCTTCTCTCTCTCTCTCTCTCTCTCTCTCTCTCTCTCTCTTCTCTCTCTCTCTCTCTCTCTCTCTCTCTCTCTCTCTCTCTCTCTCTCTCTCTCTCTCTCTCTCTCTCTCTCTCTCTTCTCCCTTCCCTCTTTTCTCTATCATCATCATCCTTATCCACCTTATCCAGCTTCTCCTCCTCCCCACCAGATGGCAGCTCGGCGCCTGGACTCCCTGCTCCAGCTCCTGCGGCGAGACTGGCCTTCAGTTCCGCACCGTCTTCTGCTCGCGACGGTTCGGCCAAGAAGGACTCCTCGCGGTCGTGGAGGACTCGGATTGCCTGGAGGAGGACGCAGGGCGGGAGGCGTGGCAGGAGGGGGCGTGGTCAGAGGAGGAAGAGGAGGCGGGGCAGGGGGCGTGGCAAGAGAGGCCCTCGAGTGTGAGGGAGTGTAATAGGGAGCTGGCTTGTCCCTCCTGGCACGTTGGGGCCTGGACGCCGGTGAGTGGGGGTGCCATTTTTCTTTTTTTTTTTCTTTTTTTCATTATTTTTCATTTACTTAGTTTTATCTTTTTTTTAAGTATTGTTAATACAGAACCAAAAAAAAAAATAATCTTAAATAACACGTACCATAAAATACCGTACTATTTGTTTGGAGTCAAAAAATGGGCGGAGCTAATTACGTCACCACGTTTAGCCAATGGCAGTGCGCTGTGAGATACCAGTTATAGCTAGATACATAATTATTTTTATAATTTTCTCGATGTTGTTATAACAGAAGTTTCAAGAAAATTCCCCTCATTTACATATGATATCAGATATAGCTAGATATATAATTATTTGTATAACACTCGCTATTGTTAAAAGGAAATTTATCTATATATATCAGTGATTGCTAGATACATTGTATTTATAATTTACTTGTTGTCATACCAGAATTTCAGAGAAAATTACCCTCGTTTACATATGATATTGGTTATATCTAGATCAATAATTATTTGTATAATTTAAAAGGAAATTCCTCTCACTTATATATGATATCGATTATTGCTAAATACATAATCAATTGAATAATTTACTTGATCTTTTCATGATTAGCAAAATATTAAGGAAAATTACCGTCATTTATATAACAGTTATAGGGAGATACATAGTTAATATATAATTTACTCAATATTGTCATACCAGAAGTTCCCTTATTTATGATATCAGATAAAGTTAGATATGATATCATGAATTTATAACCTCTCTGACAGGGATTCGAACCCCCACCGCCGTTGCTAAGAATTCACAAGACGGGCACTCTATCCACTGATACACGACCCAACAAAAGAAGTGTGCAACTAGGAGCTTACTAGCATCCATAGACAGTACCTATCTACTCATACATGAGTAAGGATAGCGAGGTTTTACACACACTCCCCGTAGGCACTCGGTATATATAGAAAGAGCAGTTCAAATCCCAAATCAGATATGCTGAGGTGTATTCAATGAAAGATGGAATAATGCACTGGCCGCATTTTGATATCATGAATTTATAACCTCTCTGACAGGGATTCGAACCCCCACCGCCATTGCAAAGAATTCACAAGACGGGCACTCTTTCCGCTGATACACGACCCAACAAAAGAAGTGTGCAACTAGGAGCTTACTAGCATCCATGAGTAGATAGGTAATGTCAATGGATGCTAGTAAGCTACTAGGTGCATGCTCCTTTTGTTGGGTCGTGTATCAGTGGAAAGAGTGCCCGTCTTTGCAACGGCGGTGGGGTTTCGAATCCCCGTCAGAGAGGTTATAAATTCATGATATTCAAATGTGGCCAGTGCTTTATACCATCTTTCACTGAATACACCTCAGGTTATCTGATTTGGGATGTGAACTGCTCTTTCCACGGGGAGTGTGTGTAAAACCTCACTATCCTTACTCGTGTATGAGTAGATAGGTAATGTCTATGGATGCAAGTCAAGCTCCAAGTTCCACACTTCTTTTGTTGGGTCGTGTATCAGTGGACAGAGTGCCCGTCTTGTGAATTCTTTTGGAACGGCGTGGGGGGTCGTAATCCCAGTCAGAGAGGTTATGAATTCATGATATCAAAATGCGGCCAGTGCATTATTCCATCTTTCATTGAATACACCTCAGCATATCTGATTTTTGGGATTTTTTGAACTTGGCTCTTCCACGCGGGGCTGGGGTGTGTTGTAAAACCACGCAATCCTGACTCCGTGTATGACTAGATAGGTAAATGTCTATGGATACTAGTAACGTACTAGGTGCAACAACTCTCCTTTTGTTGGGTCGCTGTAATCATGTGGATAGCAGTGCCGCCGTCTTGGAATTCTTTGCAATGGCAGGTATGGGGGGGTCGAATAAAGCATCAACCTAATACAGAGTCCGACTGAGATATAAGTTTCCTGTATCGCGGATATACCTAAACAGGTGGTCGTAGGCTATATGGTTACTCTACACATCTTTCACTGACTACACCTCAGGTTATCTGATGTTAGTTGATTTGTGCAACTTGCTTCGTTGTTTCTCATACTCCTATACGAGTGTGCCACGGGACCCGTTATCGCTTACTCGTGTTGTTATGGACCTTAGATAGGTAATGTGCATGGATTGTTAGTAGCTCCAATGTTTGGCACACTTCTTTTTGGTTTTGGGTCGTGTATCAGTGGGACAGAGTTGCCCGTCTTGTTGAATTCTTTGCTACACTGGCGGTTGGTGGGTTCGATCCCGCCCCGTCAGGAGGAGGTATATAAAATTATTATCATTGATATCTCTAATATACTCCCCATGGCTACCCTCTATACATTCTTCAACCTGAAATTCTACACC